TAAATTGATGGTAAAATAAAAAATTTATATTTTTATAAATAGAGAGATAAATGCCTCTATTTTAAAATAAAATAATTAAAATTGTAGATTGAAAAAAAAAGAAACTAAAATATTAATTTAACCTTTATTGATTTGAAGATTGTGGTGGTGTAGTTTACCAAAAAAAAAATGATAGCATTATTTTCTTTTTAACAGTTTTCCCCATATTTTCCAATTATTATTTGGTTAAAATTTATTATATTTAAAAAATTTATCGGGTATTCCACCATTAAAAATAGAAAGAATAGTAGAATGTGAAGAGAGAATGTTGTTGTCATTCTTCTAATGATAAGGAGGGCCTTGGGCCATTGACTTTTAAGGCTCGTTTGTGAAGATATTTATTTTTGGTCATTGAATACTGGTTGGTTTTTTGTTTTATTGATTTATCATAATAGTGGTTGATTAAGAGTTAAGATATAGGAGAAGGTTATTGTCCATGTACTAGTTAAGATTAGGATTAGTGTGAGGCCTTGTACTTGTAGTCATTTATTAATTTGAATTTTATCCCGTAGTTGGATTGGGGTGGGTCTAAGTCTAAGTAGCTGCCACGCACGCCTTCTCACCAAACACGCTTCCACTTTCGCTGTATAAGAGTTAAATGCTACCCAAATTAAATTTAATTGAGCCCCAAAATAAATAGCGCAGCAGGCTGTCCCTTTTTTCCATCTGAAATTAGGAATAATTTAATTAAGAAAATGAAGAATAATGAATAATGCATAATGCATAATGCATAATGCATAATGCATAATTTTGTGCTCCCATTGTCTGGTTTCGTGGTGGGTTCCCCTTTTTCTCTTTCCGAGTTCCTACTCTGTTAAGATTCTTTCCTTCTTATCTTCTTCTCCTTCCTTCCCAAACCCACAAGGCCACAACCACTCCTTATAAATCAGGTACTAACTCTTCCCCCTTCTCCTCCCATCCCAATACCCTTTTATTTTTTATTTGTATTTAAAAAAGAAAACAAATATTTTCTTTAACTTTGGTTGCGGAAACTAAATTCCCCAATTTTCGGCACGCCTTTCTTGAATTTCCAATCTGTTCATTTTCTATTTATACATAATAAATACATAATCCCACACCAGATTAGATTCATCGCCTTTTCAATTATTCCTAGAATCCAAACAAACATATTCTTCTTCTTCTTCACCTTGTAGATTTTTTCTTCTCATCACAGATCCAAAACATGGCGGAAGAACACCGATGCCAAGCTCCCGAAGGCCACAGACTCTGCGCCAACAACTGCGGCTTCTTCGGAAGCCCCGCCACCATGAATCTCTGCTCCAAATGCTACCGAGACATACGCATGAAGGAAGAGGAACAAGCCAAAACCAAATCCACAATCCAAA